TTTTTCTGCTGCTGTCTAGCAGCCTAGTCCTTGTTCATGTCGATGTTTGGTGAAAACTCAAAATCAAGCCTCTTAAACAATTGTTTCCCACAACCAACTCTTACATCAGTTCCCGCCGTCGGAACTGTTGTCACTGCCCCGGGTTCTATTGCCACAGCCAAGTCTTACATCAGTTCCGGACGTCCGGAACTGTTGTAAGCCCCTGGTTCTGAAGTAGCGGATTTAATGGAAACTGTTGTAAGACCCTTTGCCGGCACCAGGGTCGTACATCAGGTGGGGACGTCCCCACCTGATGGTAGCCTAGGAGATCGGCTAACACTAAATTGATCTAAGACCCTGTGATTTTCAGAGGGTCTTAGATCAATTTAGTGTTAGCCGAGCTCCTAGGCTACCATCAGGTGGGGACGTCCCCACCTGATGTACCACCCTGGTGCCGGCAAAGGATCTTACAACAGTTCCCTTTATTTTCGCAGGAATGTAACAGGAACTATTTAATTATACCAGGAACGAACAAAATCACTTCAGAACCAGGGGCTTACAACAGTTCCGGACGTCGGGAACTGATGTAAGAGTTGGTTGCGGGCAATGATTGGCTTCAAAATTTTAGATTTTCAATAGTTTTACTTTCAAATGTTTGGAGATGAGTTGAGAACCTGTGCCTTGGAAGGCTGCATTCAATGCTGGTGACTTTGATGCTGCCATGAAGAGCACCGGAGTGTATAGCGCCGCTGGGAATCTGTTCTGGTGCGATCTGAAGTGGCGGCCGTGCAAGCATGTATTCACGAACCTCAAGGCTGTCAAGGAGCTTGCCAATTTTCATTTTGGCAAGGGGCCCGCGCAGTTTCCATGGAAAATCATTGTGGCCCTGCCTTCCAAGAGTATGAAGGCCAATGAGTTGCCATTGGGGCACTTGCACCGAGTAAGCCCAGAAGAATGTGAGGCTGCTTTGCTGATCACAATCGCCAAGCGAATCCAGGAAGGTGCCACCCAAGCTGAACTCCGCCAGTGGCGAAAGGTGGTCTTGACTTGCGAGGTTCAGTTTGAAGCCTTGGCAACTTCAGACGAAGCATACTTCAGAAGCGTCAACATTCGGCGATCTATCATTGTCGCCAATGAGTCCCTGGTTCGGTCGGCCCTCCAACAGATTCAGGAAATTCTTGAATTCAAACAGAGGAAGGAGTTGACTCTGGCCAAGACCTTGGATGCGGGCACCCTACATCAGATGTGGAACGATTCAGTGATCGCAATCTCAAGTGCCTATACGGACGAGATTTCTGTCTCTTGGATAGAGGCAGGGATGCGAGTCCAAAAAAAATCCTCGGTGACAAAGACTTGCGCGCCGTCGTTGTGTGGATGGAGGCTTTTTGTGAATCAGTGGTACTTTTTCATATTCACATATATGACGTATGACTGTTTCAAATGTTTTGTTTTGTGTGGCGGCCAGTCAGCTTCATTTCCACTTGACAAGCTGAGGAAACAAACTACGGCAAGAAAAGTCCACTCAATTCGGTCTACTCCATGGACGGTTTGGCCCAAGCATGCAAGACTGTTGATGACATCCGCTGGGTTTTGCTCAGTTTGAAGGATTGCCTGATGTTTCAGGGCTTTTCCACAGCTGACTTCTCGGTGCGGCTGTTGATCGGGAAGAACAAGCAAAAGGGTGCCGTCCATTTGTTTCTCTTCAAGCGGCAATTGTTGAGCTACCTGTGACTTAGCATAGTCGGGGCATTTTTTTATTTATGTGTCCCTGTGTAGCATGTGTTTTTGTTGACTAATCTTGATGCATTGCGACTGTGCCAGAAAAGCGGTCTTAGTTTTGCTCATTGAGGCACACTTGGCTCATCACTCATGGCTTCAAAGAAGAACAGCTCAGCATGTGGAAGGAACTTCAAGATCATGATTCCTGCCGAAAGTTGTTGGGTGGTGGGGGCACGAAGGTGGACACTCAATGGCAGAGTACCAAGAGCGAAAGCACACGGCTTTTGATCCAGTTCATCAAGCAGACCATCTATGGCAGCGCCATGGACCACAATATTCGCCAATCCATCAAGAACACACAGGATCCAAAGGATGTGATCGCTAACATGCCTACCCTCAAGGATGCCATGGATGAGATCCTTGCAGCTATGAAGAAGGAGGCTGGGCCTCAGTGTCCACAGGCAAGCGCAAGTGAGGATCGGAATGTTTCAGCTGATGCGGCCATGTCCACTGTGGTGGATTTGCAAGATTTGGTGACGAGTGAGCAGATGAAGGAGGACAAAGAGAATGAGTTGCCACGATGGGTGGAGTATCTGGAGGAAGTCTTCGACAAGTGGGTGAAGATCATCATCAATGACGCGTCTAGCGTGGAAGTTGGTGACACTTTGAATTCTAGCTGAATTTCAATGTATTCTGAGGATTTTTGCATAAAACATGTTTGTTTGCATGTTGTTGCTGTCCAGCAACGCGTATTTTTGGCAAGCCTTTGGCAACTGCTGCGCAGCAGTTTGTGGGGACCAATCTTATTTTTTCTTGCACTAGTTTCAACCCTTGATTTTGTTGTTGGTTGCCTGCAGGAAAGAGCTCGCTGTCATGAAGGAAACCCAAAAGCTGGAGTCAGGGAATGTCATGATCCTATACGACAGCAAGACTGCTGGGGAGTCATCCTCCCAACCCAACGCACGAATGCCTCCATTCCGTGCGAAAAGCTTTCAGACTTGTGTGCATGCCATGATGCGAGTTCGCAAAGAATCAGATGAGGACACAGATGAATCTTTGCCAAGCGGGCACTTGTTCTGTGTCTTCGATGGGGGGCGCAGTGGTTACGATTCTGCGATGATCAATGCCTTCACCACTCCAACCGAGGGTAAGCCTGTGTCGAAGTCCCATCAGCAGTTTCAAATCTTTTTCCAGCAACAAAGCTTGCAGAAACGCAAGGAACGTGTGCGTGGATTCGTGAACCAGTCGGAGTGCCTACATGTGTTCACAAAGGATGCTTTGGACCTCCCACAGAAGAAGAGGCTGCATTTTGAAGACAGCACCACGCATGGCACTGTCATCGGGCCATTCTCAGCGGCGCCCTATGATGGACCAGATTGCTGGCGATTGCAGCCAAGTATCAAAAAAGCATGCCTCGGCTCACAAGGGAAGATCCTGGTTGGTGGAGCAGGACCTTCCGATGCGCAGCAGAAACCGAAGTTTGAAGATGGGGAACCCATGTCTTGGCACATGATGTGCCGCGAAGTCTATGAGGAACTGATCCACAGCTTTGATGCTTAACTTCGCGTAAGAGAATATTTTGCGCATTGGCCCTTTTTTGGTTTTGCCAGCTGCCGTGTTGTTTCGCCACGCCCCAGGATGTTCGCATGATGATTTGTCCCACCAATTTGTGCCACTTGCTGCCCATGGTTTGCTTGGAGAAGCAGATTCCTGTCGTGGTTGCCTGCTTCACTGAAGAGCACAAAACGCACTTGACGACGAAGATCCTCAAAAGCTTGTGGGCGGCGTTCTTGGATGAGAAGAGCGCGCACTATCAGCCCAGTTTGTTCTTTTGCTTTGCGTAAGGATGCCTAAGACTTTTCGTTGAAGATGTCCCGAAATATGTTTTTCTATGTTTGAGGTTGCTTGCACCGGCATTCAAAGCAAGCTGGCGCATGAAATCTGCACAGGTGCAAGCTGCTGAACTTGAAGGTGACAGCCAAGCGCAAACTCGAGCCCGCTGTGAAGAACATCCGGGGCAAGCCGAAGGCCAAGGCCAAGGCGGCCGCAGAGCCAGAGGATGATGCTGTGGAAGATCTTGTTGAGGACACAGAGACAGGGCAAGAAGAGCCAGCTGGCAGTGCTGATGGTGCCGGCGCCGGCAAGGGTGCTGGGAAAGGCAAGAAAGGCAGAGGCCGTGGCAGGCCAGCGCCAGCTGGCAACGCGGAAGCACGAAAGAAGCTTCTGGGAAAGCTCATGGCCAACTTGAACAAGTAGTGGTTGTGAGTATAGCCCAAGTACAGTCAGCGCGCGCCACCCCTGGATTTCAAAGACCCTGTCAATCAGAAAAAACCTCGAGCTTGAATTTCATTTTCTATATTCCATCTTCGCTCATCTGGTCTTTGTTATGGCAGGACGCATGTGTCATTTGGATCATGTGTTGGTGGCTCTCGCTCAATCCCATGCAGCGTGAGTCATGGAAGGTTCATGACTCGGATAGCCTAGCAACTTTTGCGCAGCAGATCTTGCCAAAAAAAATTACATCGTTGTTCATGGCCATTGGTGCGGCTGCTGTGGAGCAGCAATCTTATGCTTATCATCCCCTGCAGGGGCCACAAATGTGTTCAGCACCTGATGTGTCTGTTCGTCATCACTAGCATTCGGGCCCAATTCAATGAAGACATAGTTCAAAAAATGAAAAGAAAACATTTTGATGTCAGTGATGGGGAAATCACTGTGGGAACTGCCTGCAGTGGCTGGGGCAGTGAGTTATTTGCTTTGAAAATGCTGGATCGCAACTTTTGCAGTCGCCTGGTGACCGTTTGTAATACTTTGAAGTTGGGTCATGGTTCTTGTTTCAAAACAAAACAGTTTTCATGGAGAGAATCCTAGGCTTATTCAGCTGTGATTGTGACCAAAGTTGCCGCATTCTACATGGAGCAGTGCATGGCAGCCATTTTGTGTACAATGATGTGTTTCTTAGACTTTGTTTGGAGTGTGTGTTTTTCCTTTTGGTTGGTGGCTCTTTGACATTTGCTGGCCAAAAAAATCTGTGCTGGCCAGATTGCCACCGATCCAGGTTTGATGCTTCCTTCATGTCAAGTCCTTCTGTCGACATCTTTATGGCAGGCTTTCCATGCCAGCCATTTAGCAGAGCCGGGTTGGGACATGGGACTTTGGATCCTCGTGGCACCGTAGTGTTCAGACTTATCTCCTGGATCGAAGTGCACCTTCCAGTCATCTTTGTACTGGAAAATGTGATCGGACTATTGGAGCGGCACGAAGACACTTTTGTTGAGATCTTGGAACTCTTGGTCAAAATTGGTGAGTATGAAATCTCATGGGCTGTGCTTGGGGCTCACACACATGGGAATGTTCCACAGCACCGGCAGCGAGTTTTCATTTGTGGAATTCTTCGAGAACATCAATCAAAGGAGCTTGCATGGCCAAACGCAATTCCTCTGAGCACCTCACTCTCTGACTTCATGGATGACGATGGCGACGATCAGCATGACGAAGTCGTATGGCCTACACAAAAGACTTACAGACGCAACTTGCTGAAGGCATATGAAGCGATTGTGACCACAACTGGGGAAAACCCACTGCAGGAACATTATGTTGTTGATGTTGGCTGCGGCCCCTCGCGACAACCATGCTGCTAAACTAAATTCACCGCTAGGTCATTTTGTCTCATTGTAAATGTTACATGTTGTTTTTGTTTCGAAACTGTGACTCAATAGTTTGTCCCCAACCAGTTCTCAGGCTTCATGAAGGGTGTGAGTCCGTGTCTCACGAAGTCTCGCGCGGGAGATTGTGGTTATTGGCTGTCATGGAAAAACCGTTTGATCACAACGAATGAGATTGTACGGCTTATGGGGGTGTGGCCTGAAGACATACCCCATGGAATTGTGTCTGATCGCTCACTCCGCAAAATGGCAGGAAACGCGGTTGTTGTTCCCTTGCTGGCCCGGCTTTTGAAACAACTGCTGGATGCGGCCGATCTGTAGCAAGTCGTGTCATGGCATCCCAATGGCCATGGACAGTGACACTATTCAGAAAATTGACAACACAAAGTCAATCTAGGAGCAGCATGGCCATGGACGTCCTGGCGTTCAAAATTAGGAATCAATAGCAATGCGACAATTTGCTTAGCACCAACTGTTGGCAACAAAAGAGGACATCCGTCGGGCAGTCTCATGAGAGATGACCTGCAGGGAAGTGAAGCAAACACTTTTACAAATAACATTTTAAGAAAACCACATAGATAGCTCTATTTGGAACTCCAGGCCTTCTTTTTGCCAAGAATTTGCGAAAAAATCGCTGCCAATTCCCTCGAAGATAGCTCCTGATGGAGGTATTTCTTGTTGGCCTTGATGAGTTTGGCCCGCTGCTTTCCACTCAGGTTTGTCTTCTCCAGGATGCTTTGTCTGCCGTTTATCTTCACCATCCCATCCTGGTTGAGGCGCACTCTCTTCCCTTGACGTTTTTTTTGCCTTTCAGCATTCAACTTCATGTTCCAACCATGCTGCAAACGATTCACGGTCATGTCCTTCTCCAGCTCGGTATAGGCAAACATCACTCGCCTCAGAAATTTTTGGGCAGGATTCGGATTGTGGTCACATAGGTCTGGCAGATCCACTGGCACGATCTGGATGTCAAGCTCTTTACTCTTTTCGTAGATAGATTCTGCCACACTAGCGTTCCGAGCAAGTGCCCGCGATCCTTCCACAATCAATTTTTTGATTTGTTGCTTGCCACACTGTTCCATCAGGTCATTGAACACAGGGCGTTTCTTCAGAGGCAAGCTCCCTGAGATCACTTCGCAAATCTTGTAAGCCACCTTTGTTTTGTCAGCTGTGCATTTTTGTTGGCACACTTTCGTTTGCCGAGCGATGCCTGAACCATTTTTTGGGGTTTTGGAACTGACTCGTGCATAGATTGCAGCTGCAGCTTTCACCATGGTTCGCGCAGGCCTTGATGAGCCACTATGGCACGTTCCCTCAATGGGTGTTCGGGGAAAGGGTGAAGTTGTGTCCTTCTTGTAAAATGTTTGCCACATTCTCCTACCATGTTGCTCTTGGGCCCTGGTGTCTCGAAAACAGTGTCCCATGTCTTGAAAACTTAGGTATTCAGGACGCTGCTGTACAGCAGTGCGGGTATTCAGGACGCTGCTGTACAGCAGTGCGGAATATTATAAAGTTTTCCGGACGCTGCTGTACAGCAGTGCGGGTATTCAGGACGCTGCTGCACAGCAGTGCGGAATATTATAAAGTTTTCCATGAGACTGCTGCGCAGCAGTGTTGAAGACGGGTCACTAAACAAACTGCTGCACAGCAGTGTTGAAGACGGGTCACTAAACAAACTGCTCTCCAGCAGCGCTAGTGTTGTGATTTTCTACAGCAGTGCGGAATATAGCGTTTTCCATGAGACTGCTGCACAGCAGTGTTGAAGACGGGTCACTAAACAGACTGCTGTCCAGCAGCGCTAATGTTGTGATTTTGAACGCGTTTAAATAAATGGGCAGTGTCTGCGCCAGCCAGAACAAAGTCAATGCCTGTCAGGACCCACACGCCTTGGCAGCAGCGACCATGTTGGCACAGAACCTTGGCTGTGGTGAAAATCATGAGTTGGCAAAACATCAATGCCAGGTTAATGCCATAACCCAGTTGTAAGTGAGTCAGTGCTCACCAATCAATGTTCTTAATCACACACAGTCACTGCCCAGTGCGCAAAGCCCTTTTCACTGCTCCGTGCGCGAAGTCTCTTCCTCTCTTTTCCATCTTTTTTTCCTGGCGATGAGTTTTCACAATGACGTCAAGTGTTGCTGGACAGCAACCGACACAGAAAATTAGTCTATCGTTGCTGGACAGCAACTCTAAGTCTAGTTAAATTAGTCTATCGTTGCTGGACAGCAACTCTAAGTCTAGTTAGTTGCTGCTGGACAGCAGCCCTGATTTGTTGCTGGACAGCAACTGTAGTTAGTTGCTGCTGGACAGCAGCCCTGATATGTTGCTGGGCAGCAACTCTAGTTAGTTACTGCTGGACTTGCTGGACAGCAACACGCAACGCTGCTGCACAGCAGCCTGGTCAACACACAAATTAAGTCGGCAGTGTGGCCTCTGCTCTTCCGCTTCATCTTCATCTGCCTTTCTTTTTTCGGTCTTCTCTTTGCTCTCCTCGTCCTTCTTTGGGTCATCATCTCTCTGCTGCTGGGCCTTTTTTTCCCTTTCAGCACGCCTGTCTGCAAGCCTTTGCATTTCTTCCTTCATCCTTCGCTCCAAGAAGGCCTTCTGCCTGTTTTTGTTGTTCTCCTCTGGTTTCTCCTTCTCTTCTCTGTCTCGTCGTGCCTGTCCAGCAGATGAGTTGTCTCCTTCCTGCTCCCTTTCGGCTGGGTGTCGCCCTTGTAGGCAGAGGTCCACAATCACCCTGGAGCAGAGGACCAGGATCTCTAGCTTGCGGAGCATCCTCTCCCATTGGCGCGCTGTGTATGAGGGAGGTCGAGCCATGGGCCTGGTGGTTCAATTGATGGGATGCGCGTCAATACCGAAAGTTTTAAATGCTTTGCCCTCACTAAGTTGTTTCATTGTTATCTGAGTGGGAAGATTCGATCAGGTTGTTCCTTCATGCCGGACGATCTTTGTTGGGAAGATATATAGTGTTATTTTTTGTGATTTTTCATCTCTTGCAGTCTTTGTGTCTTCTTTGATTTCTCTGTAGCTGGTGCAGGGGCTCTTCCCTTGAATCCAAACACTGCAACAACCAAGAGATGGTTATATATGTGTTGCAGTATGTTTTTTGATTAGCCTTCTAGTCTTTTGAGTAGCCAACATGGAGTCGTTTCACAGCAACTCTGGCACATGTGTTGCCGAACAGCAACCCGGCATCGGCCTTGCGCATCCAAGGATCCCCACGTTGGCCTTGCAGCCCGACTTTCTGCAGGGCACCTCAGTTGCCAGAACACTGTTGCTGTTCAGGTAAGTCAGGCCACAACATTGGGCCATGTGTGCACCACTGCTGGACAGCAGTGATTGAGGTTTCATTTCACGCTTTGTCTCAAGGATGAGGGTGCGATGGAACTTTAAAAACAAAGAAAAGGCATTCAACCCAGCAAAGGAAGCAAAGAACACACCTGCAATTGAACATAGCTTCACACCCCCAAGGTGACGTCCAGATAAAGACAGAACCAAGCATCATCAAGCGCAGAACACAATGAAACCGATCATTTCTTGCTTTTGCAAACAACCGCCATGGGATATGGTGGCAAAGGACGGCAGTCA